GTGTGTGTGTGTGTGTGTGTGTGTGAGTATGTGTGTGTGTGTGTATGTGTATGTGTGTGTGTGCGTGTGTGTGTGTGGTGGCGCTGACACATTCATTAGCAGCGGGACACGACAGTGTGTAGGAGGGTGATATCGAGCTGAATGGAAGTTGCACTTTCCAAAATGTCATGGAGATGTTAACAGCTTTGCCAAACAAACACTCTTTAAAGTAGAGACACTACATACTGATATACACCTGAACATCAGCAGGAGAGGACTCTTTAAAGTAGAGACACTACATACTGATATACACCTGAACATCAGCAGGAGAGGACTCTTTAAAGTAGAGACACTACATACTGATATACACCTGAACATCAGCAGGAGAGGACTCTTTAAAGTAGAGACACTACATACTGATATACACCTGAACATCAGCAGGAGAGGACTCTTTAAAGTAGAGGACACTACATACTGATATACACCTGAACATCAGCAGGAGAGGACTCTTTAAAGTAGAGACACTACATACTGATATACACCTGAACATCAGCAGGAGAGGACTCTTTAAAGTAGAGACACTACATACTGATATACACCTGAACATCAGCAGGAGAGAACTCTTTAAAGTAGAGACACTACATACTGATATACACCTGAACATCAGCAGGAGAGGACTCTTTAAAGTAGAGACACTACATACTGATATACACCTGAACATCAGCAGGAGAGGACTCTTAAAGTAGAAACACTACATACTGATATACACCTGAACATCAGCAGGAGAGGACTCTTTAAAGTAGAGACACTACATACTGATATACACCTGAACATCAGCAGGAGAGGACTCTTTAAAGTAGAGACACTACATACTGATATACACCTGAACATCAGCAGGAGAGGACTCTTTAAAGTAGAAACCACTACATACTGATATACACCTGAACATCAGCAGGAGAGGACTCTTTAAAGTAGAGACACTACATACTGATATACACCTGAACATCAGGAGGAGAGGACTCTTTAAAGTAGAGACACTACATACTGATATACACCTGAACATCAGCAGGAGAGGACTCTTTAAAGTAGAGACACTACATACTGATATACACCTGAACATCAGCAGGAGAGGACTCTTTAAAGTAGAGACACTACATACTGATATACAACCTGAACATCAGCAGGAGAGGACTCTTTAAAGTAGAGACACTACATACTGATATACACCTGAACATCAGCAGGAGAGGACTCTTTAAAGTAAAGCTTTCTTACCACAACTCCCTTTAGTTCGGTTAGGGTTAGGCATCAAAAGTACTTAAGGTTTCCAGGTAGAGAATAATGACTTTTCAGCGTTTCATCTGTACAGACATGTCTAACACACCTCCTCATATTCAGTCTCAGATATGGACCCCCTGCTGTGCCTCACCTGTTTCTCTTTTGAAGGTCAGAGCAGCGACTGACCACTGAGACAACGCCGGAGGACTTTGATAAGAAATATGGAGATGAAGCCGGATGTGATTTGGCAGAAGAGATGTGATCTTTTGATCATTATATATGTGTTGATAATATACCTGAAGTTTATTGAGATATAAAAAACACTGTCTGTTCTCAGAAGTCAGATGAAGAGAGTGAGCCACATTAATACTTAAAGCTGTTGCCATGGAAACATAGCTTGGACGGACACACACACACACATACACACACACACACACATACACACACACTCTTGTACACACGTATACTCACTTCTGACAGGGAGAGATGTGTTAAAGAGAAACTCAGGACGTCACTATGAATGAGGCGAGAGTGTGTGTGTGTGTGTGTGTGTGTGTGTGTGTGTGTGTGGTACAGCAGTGGTTGAGTTATACACACTATAACACTGGAGCTGCATAAGTCATACAACACACACACACACACACACACACACACACACACACACACACACACACACACACACACACACACACACACACACACACACACACACACACACACACACACACACACACAACACACACACACACACACACACACACACACACACACACACACACACACACACACACACACAACACACACACACACACACACACACACACACACACACACACACCACACACACACACACACACACACACACACACACACACACACACACACACACACACACACACACACACACACACACACACACACACACACACACACACACACAACATTGTTGACTATAGACACTGGGTGTAAATAGCATCTGCCATACATTTAGTATCTGTAATTTAGTTTTGCACAATTGTATTTCTTCATCTTTCATGCCTCAGGATAATGTGTGTTGCATGAATGGAAGAGCCTGTTTTTTGTTTTTCATTGATAAAAACTGCGTCTTTTCTGCCCCTCGATGGATGCAGAGATTTCAGAGTTTCCGCCATGCAGAGCTGTCAGTTGATGTTTAGTTGTGAATGCTCTCTGAACTGTGAGCTCTCACTTGATCCCTTTCAAGTCTGCAAACAAGCACACTTTTCTGGTAGATGTGAACACAACCACACACGCTTCTCTGAAAGTCAGCGGTTGAGTTACCACGGGAACACGCAGTGCTGCAGGGTCACTTTGCCCTTTGCCTTCGCAGTTTGTCCCTCTGGGCTTCCTGTAGACACGCATGGAAACACAAACACACGTCTGCGGCTAACGCTAGCAGGCAGAGAGGGCAAAAGTACAAACAAGTAGAAGTACAGATACTCGTGTTTAAAGATACTCTGGTGAAAGTAGAAGTACTGACTAAACTTCTTTACTCAAGTCAAAGTAAAGAGGGCTTTGAAATGTACTTCAGTAAAAAGTACCCATAACTAGCAGCTGTTTTAAAGAGTACCTGACCTCCCTTTATATTAATAGAACAATAATGTCATTGTTAGCTAATGAATGTTTCCATGCTGAACAACGGCAACATGACAACGTTTTCATTGGTCCCTCTTCTTTAGAGAAGACCAGGAAATGATGGATACACGGATCGTGTTCAAATCAATAGGCACGCAATGACTCTAAAGAATAATGATCACGCCACCAAACACACATTCAAACTAAAGGAACCAGCCTGTTTGGGAAATGTGAGAAGTAGAAAGTACAGGTATTTGTGTTCAACATGTAAGAAGTAGAAAGTACAGGTATTTGGGTTCAACATGTAAGAAGTAGAAAGTACAGGTATTTGTGTTCAACATGTAAGAAGTAGAAAGTACAGGTATTTGAGTTCAACATGTAAGAAGTAGAAAGTACAGGTATTTGTGTTCAACATGTGAGAAGTAGAAAGTACAGGTATTTGTGTTCAACATGTAAGAAGTAGAAAGTACAGGTATTTGTGTTCAACATGTTAGAAGTAGAAAGTACAGGTATTTGTGTTCAACATGTAAGAAGTAGAAAGTACAGGTATTTGTGTTCAACATGTAAGAAGTAGAAAGTACAGGTATTTGTGTTCAAAGTGTAAGAAGTAGAAAGTACAGGTATTTGTGTTCAACATGTAAGAAGTAGAAAGTACAGGTATTTGTGTTCAAAGTGTAAGAAGTAGAAAGTACAGGTATTTGTGTTCAACATGTGAGAAGTAGAAAGTACAGGTATTTGTGTTCAACATGTAAGAAGTAGAAAGTACAGGTATTTGAGTTCAACATGTAAGAAGTAGAAAGTACAGGTATTTGAGTTCAACATGTGAGAAGTAGAAAGTACAGGTATTTGTGTTCAACATGTAAGAAGTCAAAGTAAAAAGTTGTCAGAAAAATAAGTAGTGGAGTAAAGTACTGATACCAGAAACATGTACTTGAGTACAGTAACAAAGTATTTGTACTCCACTACTTCCCACCTCTGCTATCAGGAAGCCAAGATTGTAAGTAACTTATTCTCAAAATTGTGAAACGTAAACAAATAAAATGGAAATCAGTGTCATCCATAGAGAGCACTCAGGATGAAAAATGCTAATTAACATCCAGCTAAACCCAGCATAGCCTTGGAAAAGCTTCCGCGTGTGTGTGTGTGTGTGTGTGTGTGTGTGTGCATGTGTGAGTGTGGGTGTGTGTGTGTGTGTGTGTGTGCCAAGGTGTGAGTGGCCACCTGGAATGACAGATGGATCACACACACACACACACACACACACACACACACACACACACACACACACACACACACACACACACACACACACACACACACACACACACACACACACACACACACACACACACACACACCACACACACACACACACACACACACACACACACACACACACACACACACACACACACACACACACACACACACACACACACACACACACACACACACACACACACACACACACACACACACACACACACACACACACACACAACACACACACACACACACACGTGTGTTGATGGACAGAAAGCCTGGACACACACAGACAGATTTTGATGCTCACTCTCTGAATCTCTTCACACATTTGTTTCTGTAACTCAGTTGCTGTTGACCCTTCACACACACTCTCTTGTTTTCCTACTGCATGTACACTCAATGCTTCCTTGTTTACTCAGACTTGTTTTAACAGACTCACTTGTTCTCTTGTTCTCAGTCTGGTCTAATGAATTACATCAAGTTCATTTGATAAACTGTCAATTACATTGGGTGCAAACTGTGTTTGGCATTTTTTCGTTTGCTTTCGACTTATCAAAAAAGTTTAACCTTCAATAAATCAATCAATCAATACATGTTCCCTTTCTATGTACAGTCATTATTACCATATGGACACTTACACATTTCCTTCTCAAGGATCACTTGTTCCCTATGAACTAAGTCACGTTTCTTCAATATATGCAAGTGTTCCCTTGATACACTTCCTTGTTTCCTTTGTACAGTTATGACAAGTAATTTACGGCGTACAGTCTCTTGATCCTTATGTGTGCAAACATGTCATGTAGTACTTCATCAATAAGTTATCGAAACCACACACACACACAGACACACACACACATACACATACACCACACATAGTGAGGACCGAC